AGCGCTCGCGGACATGGAGGAGGAGGAGGAGGAGGAGGAGGAGGAGGAGGAGGAGGGGGAGGGGGAGGAAGGATGGCGGGGGCGACGGCGACGGCGATGGCGACCGGCGGAGGAGCGCCAGGGGTGTGAGGGGGGGCGCGGTGAAGAGAGAGCTGATATGAAAGGGCCCAGGGACACACACACACACACACAAGTGCACACGGATCCCAGGATTCCACATGCCCTTCCTCACGCTCTGGAGTTGCGTTTTCCCTCCGCTTCCCCACAGTGTCCGAGACCTTCCTGGGAATCGATTCTGATTTGTGCCTGTGTGTGTTTTCCCTCCTGGTCCTACGAAGGCCGAGGAGCTCGGAGGCGTTGCTGGCATAAGGCTTCTCAGAGGGAGGCCCCCTGACTTCTGAAAGGCCGCCACCCTCTCGCCAGACCCCTTGTCATGTGCACAACGCCGACAGAGGAGGAGGAGGGAGGAGGAGGAGGAGGAGGAGGAGGAGGAGGAGGCGAGGAGGGGCACTTCCACATGAAAACCAACCCTGAGACGCCAGGACGTCCATGGATTTTGGTGTGGGAATGTCACGCTTTCCAGAGCAAACCATCGACCCGCCCCCCCCCCCAAAAAAAACGAGGGCACCCTGGAGGCAAACAGGGTGCTTCTTGGCATGGGCCCCCACTGTCGACAAGCTGCCATGTTGTCACATCGTCCAGCAACGATCCAAAAGAGGAGGGCCTCAAACAGGACAAGGGTCTCTCGATCTGCACCACGGCGGTCGCGCTGATGGCCAGGCGGAGGTAAGGGCTAAAGGCTCCGCGGACGGGAAACGTGTCGAAAGAGTGTCGAAACAGTGTCGGACGAGTGTCTCCCAGGGCCCGACACGTGAGAAACCTAGAGTTTCGGTGCTCTTTTGACGCTCGAAACTCTCTCTGCTGATCAAAGCTAATGCAGGTTGGAACATCAGAGCCCTCGCCATGGACAACACAAAACCCTCTGTGTTTCCCCCGGTGTGGCTACCCGCCGGTCACCAAGGCCTGCGGCTTCCTCCCTCCGAGGAGGCCGCGGGCGCACCCGGTGGGACACGCCAAGCTCCTCCGACCTCACACCGCCCCCCCTCTCGCGGGCATCCAGTTATTCTCTTCCTCCTCCGCCTCCGCATTCTCCTCCTCCTCCTCCTCCTCCTGCTTCTCCTCCTCCTCCCCCTCCTCCCCCACCCCCACCCCCACCTCCCCTCCTCTGTCCTCCCACCCTCCCTCATCCCTCGCTCCCTCCTCCTCCCTCTCATGCGATTCCGCAAAAGTGGGCACGCGGGCGCCCTGCAGCTCGGCCAGCGCATCGGGGGCCATCTCGGCTCCGAAGACGCCCCCGTCGCACGCAACTGCGTCTCCGCCAAAATCGGAGGGCGCGTCGTCGAACGCGCGGGCCATCACCTCTCGGTGGACATTGACGCATGTAAGAAGGATACTCGGCGAGGGGGGATCATTTTGAGACCAGTCGACACACTCTACGTCACCGATCGCTTCTTGAGCCGCGAAAAGGACCGCGTTGTCTCTCCCCCCTTCCCCTTAAAGTCGCACTGGCTCTGAAAATGTGTATCGCTTCCTCGGCGGTGATACGGCATCGATCGTCTTCCCATTTCGGCCCGCGGGCATGAGTTCCCCGCCTGCCCCCTCCCCCGCGAGACGGCGCCCACCTCGGCCCTTTGCCCGGGAGATGCCCTCGCCTTCGGAAAGCGCAGCCATGAATGCGGCGAAGCCTTTTCCGTGCAACTGTCGGTTGCGACGACCGCCCTATCCGCGACCCTTCTCCCGGCGGCGGGATGATATCCGCAATGCTCTACGTTCCCGCCGCGCGGGCTCCCTAGCGAACCGTCTCCAACGGCGTTTTGCGCGCCGGTAGCTCAGGAATGAATTGTCAACGGTTTCCGCATCACCGAGGCTGGAAGGCAGATCCGACACATCTGTCCGTGGGTTTCCGTCGGATGATAGCGAGGCGGCGCCCGTTCCAGAGTCGACGGGCGAATCCCCGTTGGAGGTTGACCCCCATGGGGCAGTCTGGCTCTCAGGAGCCGCGCGCGACCGGGGGGTGGAAGGCTGTCCCCAGCCCAGTTACGTCGATGACGCAGGGTGGCTTCTGCCAGCCCCTGGACCCTGAGGGACCGTCGATAGTAATGCACTGGCCTCCTCTGGGTCGCCTGGATCGTCAGCCCACGCGTCATCGAGCGCGGCCGCGCCCCAGCTGGCGCTCGCCATGCACGCGCTCGCGTTTCCGCGCCCTGCGCCCCCCAGCAACACGTTCCCGATGTTGCCGGGAGCGCCTTCAGCCAGATGCCCGGAGCCACGCGCAAAGTCCAACAATTCGTCATATCGCTGCAGGGCCCGCGGCGCCCGGCCGCTAAGAGGCTGCAGAATTTTCGCCGCCCCGCCAGGGCCAAACCTCAAGGCTCTAGAGAGCACCGCTGCGCGCAGCTGAAAGTTCGGAATGGCAACGCCGGCCGGGTCAGCCTCAAGACGGGCCATCTCGAACCGGGAGAGGATCGAATCCGTTCTCTCACCTGGCTGGCTAGGCCCGATGTCTATGAGCGCCGTCCCTGAGGCGAGCTCTCGCCGGCCCCCAAGGTTCTCGAATTTGGCGCTTACGAGAAACACGTTGCACGTGACGGGGTCGACGTGGACACCTTGCGTCGCCACGCCGTAGTTGATGATCAGGGGAAGGATTCGCATCGCAATTGCGCGTGCCAGCCCGCCCAGGCCGCGCTGCAAGAGCGCAGCTTGTTGCCTTGGGGTTACGCAGGCGGTCGCGACGACGTTCAGCCACGCATGTACTTCGCGAGCGCACTCGAAGAACAATACGTTCCCTGAGGGGTCCCAGAATGGGACCCGCGTTGTTTGATCGCATCCATCATTGTGGTCACCACGTTGCATGCGTCCTATAGCATATCCAATAGCCAACCAAATAATGCTGAAAGTAACGTGATTTAAATAGTGGATCCATGATAAACCCTCGGCATTGTTGTTGGTCGTTTTCGGAGTACCCATCGCCGCTAGGCGGCGGATTGGCTGTGGAGGCGTGTCCCCGTGTTGGTTCAACAATATGGGGTACCTGAATTTGCTACCACGCTCGTCGTAAATTGGGGTAAAATGGCATAAAGCCAGGGCGCTTACGATTTTCGGACTGATCAGGCGGATGTCGCCCATCGTGGATATAGCGTGTCCGCTAATGGCGTTTCCGTCTGCTTGCCAGTAGTCACGCTCTGACGCCGCAGTGGTGTCGGCGGCATACCAAGCCGTGCCGTGGGTAAGCGCTGCGATGGACAGAGCTGACCACAACTTAGTGGGGTCAGCTCCGCTACCAAGTAAAAAACAGGATGAGCACCATGTGGTAATAGATTGGAAAGTTGATGAGAGATGGTGTACCATCCAGAAGACTGATCGGGTCTTATTTTAAGTACGATGGTTGATTGCTGCGTCCACAATCAATTTAGGCAAATACAGTCGGACTCGATTGCACAGGACACGCGAGAGGACACAAGACCCTTCCGAGGGCCACATCGCCACAGGAGTGTAAGAAGCATGGGTCGCGAGACACAGGACACAAGGGTACCCTTGATTTGGCAGGGTCGACCTACCAATCTGGGCCGACTGACTGTAGGGCGCCGGCGTCTTGAGCCAAGCACCGACGGTACACGATGATCGATATACATATGCCCCTCTAAACCCATATTTCAAGAGTCTTTCGTTCTCCCTCCTAGTCCCTCCTACTCCCTCCTCCTCCCTCCTCCTCCCTCCTCCTCCATCCTCCTCCTCCCTGCTCCCTCCTCCTCTTCCTCCTCCTCCTCGTCCTCCTCCTCCTCCTCGTCCTCCTCCTCCTCCTCCTCCTCCTCCTCCTCCTCCTCCTCCTCATCATCATCATCATCATCCTCCTCTTCCTCCTCCTCCTCCTCCTCCTCCTCCTCCTCCTCCTTCTCCTCCTCCTCCTCGCCCCCTCCTGCTCCTCCTCCCCCTCCCTCCCGCCGCCCCTTCTCCCACATTCTCTCCTCGCGCCGTCGTTTTCTGGCGTCGGCCGTGCATAAAGGTCCGACGAGCCAGCGGGCGCGCCGCGCCGCGCCAGTCCCACGCGCCTCACGGGAGTTCCTTCGCGCTGCCCGCGCGCGGAGGGAAGCGATCGTCTGCGACGACGAGTGGGGAGAAGATGCGCTAGATGCGCGGATGCCTTGGATGCGCGAAGGACTACAAAGGATACGCTGGATGTCTTGGATGCGCGAACCTACCTCGAGCCCGTGGGCCACGAACTGGTGCGCCGCACGGGGAGAAAGAACGGGGGGAGGGACGACGGGGAGAGGCAGGAGGGGCAGATATGTGGGTATCGTCGGGGCTGGGCCTTCGCACGCCGCTGGCGCTAACACGATGGCAACTTCAGCTCTGCGCGCGAGGCAGGAAGGGGTGTTGGAGGGTCCTCGTGGGAAGGGGAAGGATGAAGGGAGGAGGGAAGAGTGAGGGGAGGGAGGCAGGGAAGCGGGCTTAAAGATGCCGAAGCAAAGGGGAAAAAAGGCGGAGGATGGCAGGAAACGGGGGGGAATGGCGAAGAGGAGAAACAGGATTCGAGTGTGGAAACATGATGGAACAACAGGTGTGCTCTCGGGCGGACACATCCCCCCCATGGCCTGGAGCTTAAAAGTCCTGTACAAAACTCGGAATCCGCAAATTTACGCATGTTGGCCATCGTGGCCCCCAAGCAAATGGGTTATGTTACTCGTTGTGCACTCTATGTGTGTACATTTTTTACGAAGCAGCGAATGGGCAACAATATGTCGATGCACATAAGAGGCACATTTGTGGATATATGTACTTATATAGAGCTATTGGCAGATGTGTGCGTTGTCCCTTCTGAAAGAAGAATACGATCCCCATCCCCCCACCTGGAATGAACGGCCCCTCTCTTGCGCACTACAAGTTAAACATGGTTTTGCCCGATCGCCCACCCAAAAAAAGAATTCGTACCATCCCAAGTC